GAAAGATTGACATCCCAGGGTTAAGTGCTGCTGGGAACAGAAAGGTACTTGTTTGCTATGGATAGAGGAAAGCGTTTTTCAGATGTGTTATATTTCAGTGAGTTAAAAGGTCATCCAGTCCTGCTACAATCCTATCGGTAGATATTTTGGGAAAACTTTTTTGCAGAAAATGAGAACTGTAAAAACATGCTGTTGGAAGTGGATTCTCCAGGACTGATGTCGCTAACAATGTCACTGGTTTCATGTAGTCATAAGCCGAGTTAGGTTTGTGCTGCCTTCAGAAAGGGCAGTTTCCCTATCACTTCGCTATTCTTCATCCTAATTAGTAGGATCAACTCATCTACCCCACTGACAACTAATCCTTCTTCCCCTTCCCCACAAATGAATTAATCCTTTCTTATAGTCATCAGCCAGATCAGCAGGCCGATTCAGTTCACTGCTCAGCCCTGCAGGGCAGAGGGAGGGGAGTGGGAGAATCCCCTTGTCCTCTGGCTGAAGCCAGCTGTGAAGAGCACGCTGAGAATTGATGGAAGTGCTGCTGAGATGCAGGGGTGGCACAGGGCTGCTGAGCAGTGCAGTAAGTGGCTGCTGTTAGAGCAGATGGGCCAAGGCACGTTGCAGCTATGGCACATGAATCCAGGTGGCTTTGTAAATGAGAGACTAAGTGCAGCAACTAACAAACCAACAAAATCACGCATTTCACATTAAGAATAAGGTGTAAGAGGCAAGGATTATATTGCATTTAGTAGGCTGGGTAAGATAATGGCTGAAAAACAAGCATTTACAAGCAGAGTGAAAGGCATGGAGAATTTTCTTACCAAGATTTTGCCATATGTGTCAAATATCTGGCGTTCAGAAACACCAAAACTCCAAAATAAATGAAGGTAATATGAGGAAGCACTTTGGGTTTGACCTTTTGGATTAATTCCTGACCCAAACTCATCTATTCCAATACAATGCCACTAAACTATCCGGTGAGCTCTCAGGCTATAAATGAATCAAAATGAATCTGAGGCCCTATTATGTGGAAATGTCATTTCTGATAGGATATCCTATTTTTCTTTTGAAATTGGCCCCTATTGCTTTAACATTACAAAGGCAGCCTATTAAGTGGGAGCTATGGGAAAATCCTTCCTGGTAGGATTACTAATTATCCGAACTTAAAATGTAACCCTGTTCGAACTTTATTGCTTTTATACACTTCAGGCTTCTTTTGAAGGTGGCTGTCTTATGAGGGAATGTACTAAGTATTCTGCATTGGCAATTGCCATTTCTTAAAAAAGAAAGTACTAGTGAAGGTTTTTCTCTACATATCATTTTTTTAAACAAACATGACTTTCTTCTTGGCATTGTCTCTTTGTGGCAACGAATGAGCTGTGCTGTGATACCCTTTGGGTTTATTTGACACTCCTCTCAGGTACTTGTCTTGGACCAGCAAGTGAAGATGGGAACTCCACAACCATGTTAAATATCTAGCACAATAATTAAACATATTCCCTCACCTATCAGTTTCAGTAGTATCTGATTATATAAATATTACTAAAATTCATGTTGTTTATAATAATGATAAATATATACGCAGTTCTGGAGCTCTTTGTCCCTGTCCATCTAAGAATAATTCTTTCTCTCTTTAACACAAAGGGTTAGTACATTATTATGGTGCCAGATTCAGCTCATATTTCATAGGGAAGTAAATCCAGAATCACTTTATTGACACTGATAAAACAGATGGCTAAACCCAAGCTAGACAGAACTGTAATTATATCTGCAGTGTTAGAGGTGAAGGTATGTTATTAAAACATCTCCCTCTTCGCTTTGAATAATGTGTAGGTCTTGCAGAATGTAAGGATCACACTGCCAATATCAAATGTCACTCCATCTTCTTTCTGGAAAAAAGTATATGGTGCAAAAGGGAATATGGGCAGAACTACGGGGAGCTGCTAATTAGCCTTTATAGGATTCTATTAATCTCTTCAATCGACTAAAAGAATTATAGTCATTGAAGTCTGTTTACTTTAAGATGGAAAGAAGGCTTAGCCAAAGCCTTTGGGCTGACGATAGTGCAAGGAAAAGCAGATTCTGTGCATCTGGCTACATCTCTTGGTTTTCTTGGAGAAGGTCACAGCCATCTTCAGATACAATCAGAGCAGACACCATTCCAGAGTGCTGAGGATGTTAGCACATATTTTACCAGAGATCTGGCAAGTTGCCTATGGCTAAGCATGCATGGAGCCAGCTAAGGTAATTTGTGTTTCTGGGTGGGAGTTTGGAGTTGGATGTTGTGAATAGGAAAATGCAGGCCCAAATTACTTTAACACTCTCCATTTCTGCTGGTTAATGTAAAAGGCTGTATCTCATTTGCAACTGCTTTCTTGTCCTACCACCCTGCCCATCCCCTCAGGGCTGTGCCTGTCCCAATCACAGTCCATAGGACTATGTTATCCCACCAGTTTGAAAACTGGAAACATAAATGATTTTTTGAGTTTCTAACGTTCATGGTTCTGATTTTTATCTTCCTAATATGTAATAATTACATTTGCTGCAACATGGTTTTCCTGAGTTTATGGGCAACTTCCATTTCCCCCTCACCCAGTGAGCTCATATGTCAACAGTATTTCCTATTTAGTTTATTTAACATGTAATTGTTGCCCATGTTACCAAATAGGGTGGAAACTGTATTGGGTTTAAGGCTCCTGGACAGAATAGGAATGAAAATGCAGAAGAGGAAAAAGGGAAAAGACATGCTAAAGGAGAAGTGAAAGTGAAGTAGCAGTGGCTGTAAAGGTGGAGACACACTGCCACCATGCAGTGACAATGATAAAAAGAAGATTAACCATACTTTGCCATGGATCTCTGGTGCAGACCCATCCTTGAAATTGGTGAGAATTCAATGGACTGGAGAGCACGTTATCTCTAATGTATTTTTTGGCTCACAGATCACAATTAAAATTAAATTCTGCCTTCTGCAAAACTAAATTGGACACACTGGTCTGCAGTGAATCCTTGATCTTGGTTGGTCTCAGTTGAGCTAGACTATGCAAAGAAAAAAAAAATTATAACTGTGGAACTTTTCTTGTGAGACTATATGAAATTGCTATCATAGCACAAGCTATTTTCAAGGAAATCTAGGATGTACAGGTTACTTTTCAGGAGAGGAAATAGTTTTACAGATTCTCACTATTGAATTCTGTTCCTATAGATCATTCAATTCAAGTGTCTTGGCTGCAAAAATATTAATACAAATGTTGTTATGAGATGATGATATTCTCAATATTACATAGAATAAATGTTATCACTTAAATATTTTTAAGTGCCAGCATTTCTGCAGGCTGCAGCTTTTTGCTAAGAGAAGCATACACTTGTCAAATCTTTTGAATTCTGTATTATTCAGTAAACGAGCATGTGGTTAATTAAAGTAGCATTACTGTACTGTGAGGTGACCAGATTGCAAACATATCCTTAACAATCGGCCCTTATAAATAAAATAGAAGAAAACTGATTGAGATCTGAAAATGTCAATAGATGCAAAAAGTCACCTTAGAGTGTTACCTGATAAAATAAAGGAGAGAAGTAATGACATGGTCAATATTAACTGCCATCAGCTGGAAAGAAATCAGATTGTCAGGGATCTATAAAATTCTTGCCAAACTAGAACCTCATTTACACATACAGATCTTCATACCCTTTGCTAAGAAAAGCGTATGTGACAGCTTAGAGGTTTTAGCTGCCAAAGATCTTTCACTCTGAATACAGTAAATGTCACATCTATTTATTTATCGTTAAATTTTGCTAAGTATCTGTAGAAATATTTGGATTTTTTCTATCATAATGTAGATGTTTAAAAGGAAAAGAATCCAGATTATAATGCAGCTGTAGCACCAAACCATATGGCTGCTAAATGGGAGCAAAAATACACCACTAAATTACTTGGAGTAAACATAAACTGGATGCAATCTTCAGAAGAATATTAAATGGAATATATAAATACGAGAGTATTGCCATAAAATCATGCAATCAGACAATAGTAGCCATCAGGCAATAGATTATTTCACATGCTGAAAGTAATCACAGTTGTATAGCGATTTGCATTTTCTAAATGCCAGACTGAAAATATTAACTGGTGAATCTTGGCAAGCACAGTGTTTTTACCAACTGCAGTGGTGGTTGTAACGATATCTAGGCCTTTTTTTGAAAGAGAGAGAGATAGAGAGAAATAGATAAGTAAGGCAGCCATCCTACACCTCAGCTTTATTAGAATCTGCCCAGGGTCCCAGGTGCTCGAAACAGTCTTGTTTGTCTTTAATTCAGTTAAAGCTTTCGACTTCTTTAAGTTTCTGTGGGTGATTTATTGGTATATTGGGTAGAATTTGCACTGTGCTGAGCAAGAACAAATGGTCCAGTGGAATACATATTTAGTGTTATGAATAGTGTCTGGCATGAGAGAGAACTCAAATTAGTGTGGCTGTTGTGTTTGCCTGTTCTTTTGCTCAGAAGCGGTTCCATGATAAGTCCAATTGGATTTTACATCATTGTGTAAAAGGGAAAAAGGTAATAACTTTGGTGAGAAAGGCTTGTGTGTCTGCTCAGTCTGGTAAAGACTTACTGAGAGTAATTGTCAATTCTGCTTTCATAAATTGGTTCTCTTCTGTTCTTTTTACACAATATGGAAGGAGAGGAGGCCTCTACATCCCATCCATAGCCACCTTCAGAGTGTGAGGAAGAGCTAAATGATCCTTGAACTTCAATTGGACTTTGTAAATTAACATCCCAGGGAACAGGCTCTCAGTATTCGTAACTGTGGTGCTTAGAATTGGAAATACAATATAAAATGTTTACCTCAAAATTGGCCAGATTCATCAAGATTTCTATTACTGTGTATTGAACCAGCTCTGCCCCTGGGAACTCAGATCTGAGCACTATCAAGTGAAGACTTCCTCCCCTGAAGTTTTATGTATGAGACAAAGAGCAACTCTGAATATCTCTCTGTTTTTTTCCTACAGATGATATGGAAGCAATTCCAGTCAAGCAGTTTGTTAAACACATCAGTGAGCTGTATTCTAATAACCAGCATGGGTTCTCAGAAGACTTTGAGGTACGATTTAATGATCCACCAGTAAAATGTTGTTTTCCTAAAGTTAATTGTGTATTAATAATTGGGGACCGTGTGACATCTGTGTGAGGCTGTCATGTCAGGTAAATGCAGTGCTCAAATGTATTAGAAGAAACAGGATAATACAATTTGCTAACAGCTATGAGCAATGTGGGACTGGACATTTTCAGATGCTTTCTGAAAGGCTTTGGTGCCTTTAAGGGAGAATCCTCCTAAGTTTTTATTAAATAGGAAAAGCTGTCTGCAAACCCCCAGAAACAACATAAAGATACAAACAGTTGTTTTTAATTCCAGGTTTATCTTAAAATGTGCAGATTATTTTACTCTTCTTGGTCCAGAATTTGTTCCTCTTAGTCACACAGAAAAGTCCAAAAGTAGTAAAATAATGCTTACAATGAGTAAAAGTTGTAGAATTTGGTCTTGTATGAAAACCCAAACTGTGGGTCAGTTCCTTGAGTCCTTGTTCATGCTCTGTTCAGGAAAGATTGCTATTGAAGTCGTTGGTTATTTGGTTCCAGTAAAATCAAGGAGAAAAGATTTGGGATTTAGTTGGTGATAGTTACATAATGTGACTATTTTAAAATTTGCATCTTTTTTCCTGTGTAGGACAGATTTTGACCTATAAATCTGCTATCATTTGGAGGCAATTCCAGTGAAGTGAAAGTAGTTTTCCACCTCTCAGTTACCAAATCCATATTATGCAAGCATGGTAAACACCAAGCAGCATGAGGACAGGCTGTGGAGTCAGGCTTTTCCTTCACTCAGTCTAATTGCAGTCACTGCTGAACTTTTGGAAGTACTGAGAAGCAGGAGGAGCCCCAGGAAATTACAGGGAGCTGCTCTACTGGCTTCCCCACCAGGAAAAGGAGCTGTGTTTGCGTGCTGCATGTGAATCAGAGAGGCAGCTGTGCTTACAAACAAGGCAGTGAACCAAAATAGGTGGCCTTATATCTACAGCTTCTTTGCTTACTGCAGTGTAAAGACAAGACTGTATGCAGGAATTGTTTTTAATGGGATCATTTAAAACGTTTATTGTTGCTGTTTGGTTACTGTCTATAAAGAGTGGCTGCTTTGTCTGATGCCCAAAAAACGTTGTGTAAGTTAGAAACATTTTGTATTCATGAGGAAGGCAAATGTGTAAGGTGTTAAAGTGATTTAGTTCAATTGACTGCTGGCTGGATGGCTGAGCAGGAATATTGAGGCATTTAACAATGTTGATGGTATTCAGGACAAACATTTATTCTCCAGAGAGTAGAATTTGATCAGGATGATCAAATGCGACTCACTCTTCTCAATTATTTATGAATTGCGACCCCAGTGCTATTCATCACAGCTGGGTTTTACACCACTTAATTATTCAAAATAATCAGCAACACATCTGTAAACTTGGTCTGGCTTTAAGCAGGCTTTGCTTCAGCTGTCGCAAAATCACTGCTATTAACAAATGTTGGACACCTTCCGCCCATGTTTTAGCAAAGAAAAACACTGCTCTAATAGCCTTATTTTTTACTTTCCTCCTGGAGTTCCCTGCTGCGAGTGCCGTGCTGTGGCAGCCAGTGGAGGAGAGCTTTGGCCAATTACTCCTGTTCTGGGGAGCACAGGGTCCCCTCCGAAGGGAAGTTAAACTCCTCCGACTGCACTGCGTGCGCCAAATTCTATTCTCCGTGCTGGCTTAAAACTTGAAGCATCTGCTTTGAAGTCAGTATAGCTACTCTAGATGTATTTCTCCCTAGTTGAGATCTCGGCTTCCTAAAGAGTAAATGAAATCTCCTCCTAGAGTAAGAAGGAATAGGAACAAGGCGACCTCTGTCTGGGATAAACCGTCCAACTCCCCTTCACTGCTGATGTTCTGCCCTGCTGATGCCTCATGGGTCTGATTTGAAACGCTGGATCTCTCACTGAGCCTTTAGGTAAAATGTTTCTCAAGTGCCCAGACTCTGACTCAGAGATCAGAATCCCAGTTTTGAGAGTGGCTGAGGGCTGGCAGAGCCCGAGGTCACGTTTACACAGCAGCTGCTGAAGTGGCTGGGGTTGTAACTTCTCACATACAGTCAGATCCAGCCTTGGTCCGTGTGCTGGAGTTGTATCTGCCAGCTACAGTGAGGACTTAGCTAATGTTTTGTGGAGAAACAATAAGATTCCGGATGAAATAGGAAATCCATTGTTACAGGACTGCTAGCCTTGCATGAAAAGTACCACAGCCATATCATGCCCTCATGCCTGGGAAACTTCTGAAAAGAGGCAATGGATTCTGCAGTCATACAGGCTTTTTACAAAAAATCTGCTTTTTACATCTAAAAGGAAGAGAGAAGAGGATGGCAAGGAGATGCTGAAAAAAATGTGATCAATATTACAGAATAAATAAATCTCCCCAAAGGCAGGCAGTGCATGAGATTTTTGTTAAAGGACAAAAGGATCAAAAATCTCTTCAGAAATTTCCATGAGAGGAGGTTTAAGGTAGAAGCTGCAAAAGGAAAAGACTAAGCTAGGCACAAACATACTCTGCCTGATTAGGAGGGTGAACATCCTCCATTTGTTTGTTGCTAGATTTTGGTGTAAGTGTCTTCCTGTGTTTTTGGCAGTGTGTTGTGGGCTGTATTGAGTTGGGTTTTACATGAAGAAGATTCCTTTGAAAGTAAATTGTGTGAATACTCCCTCCTCCTCTTAAATTGAGCTGTAATTACAGCTAAATATTTTGTGAATGTGCTTAGGAAGCGTTTTATGTGCAGAGGAAAAAAGGACTTTGAACTCACAAATCTTTCCTTGGAAAGTACATCTAAAATGAATCCTTATTCCCTTTGGGTAATCATAGTGCAAGTAGCCAGCTTTATTGTCTGGTGATAGCTGGGATTTCTTGTATATACAGTATTGTTAAGATTTCCTTTGAGTCCCGTGAATTTTCAATTTTTGATATAAATTAGAAATATAGGACCCAATTTAATGCTGAACAACAAATTGCTTTTTAAAATAAAGTCCATGATCCTGCACCACCAGTGCTGGTCTCTGACATAGTTCTTTGTATTCAACCTTGGAATTTGTTCAGTACTAGAGTGAAAAAAGTTCAGGGAAGGTTTTTGGCTTGCTCTCAGGTAGCTCCAGCACTGTCTTGCTATGGCATACAGGATGAGGTACCACATTTTTACGGGGCAGCACTGGGGCAGGGTTTGAGGGCAAGACTGAACAGAGATTGAGAGGCTTCCTGAGCCAGAGATTATATCTACTCCTTGTCTAGCCAGAGATTTTCTTGGCATCATTACGTTTAAGAGTCTTTGACAGACCTTTCTTCCATAAATTTCTAATTGTCTCTTGAACCCTTTTAGGCTTCTGGTGTCCAAAGTGTCCCATGGCAATGAATTCTACAATTTATTCTGCAAGAACAGACTTCCTTTTGCTTTTACCTCATGCCTAATAACTTCTCTTGATGCTTTCTAGTTTTTGCATTACAAAGTACATCCCTGTTTACTTAAATGCCTCACATGACTCTGTCCGCCTCCATATTCCCCCTTAATAATCCATTTTCAAATCTGAAGAAGTCTGAACTATTCACTTGGTTTGTTGGAGGAAGCCATTCCAGACTTATGACCACTTGTTCCCTCTGTGCCTTTTTTTTCTTCCTTTACCATATCCTTTTCAAGATGGAAAGGCCAAAACTGTGCACAGTATTTAATGAGTCGCTTTACTGCTGAGTTCTGCAGCAGCACAGTGATGTTTTCCATTTGGTTTTCCATTACTTTCCTTCCTCCTAACATACTGTTTGGTTTTTAACAACTGCTGAGCACTCAGCTGGCACCTCCAGAAAACCATCGGCTGTGACCCCAAGGTCTCATCACTGAATGGCAATAGCAAATTGGGAACCTGTCAGTATGTGTAGTTAGTTAGGGTTGTTTTTCCCAAGTACATCACTTTGCCTTTATCAACATTGGATTGCAGTTGCCATTTTATCACTCGACCACTCAGTGTTGGGAGATGGTTCTGCTTCCCTTCACAAACAGCTTTTGTTCTAATTACCCTGAATAATTTTGTATTGTAAACACACTTCATCTCCTCTGCAGCCCATTTATGAATAGGTTAGGTCCTGTAAGGTCCCACCAGTAAACACTGAAAATGCCTGGACAGGTGAGACCTCTCTCTCACCTGTTAGTGCACAAGGCGAGTTTTCTTTTTGTGCCAAGACGGATCAGTTTTTTAAGTAATATTTTCTGAGAGACCCTTTCACACATTTTGAAAATTGATATGCTACTCTCTCCTAGGTGGTCTATAGACTTTTTCAGGGACTTCTCCCCAGCTCTGCTGGCTTCTATTACAGTGTCTAGCAGTTTGTCCCACAGAGAATCAGATGTAGTGGGCTGCAGCGCCTGAAACCCCTTCTGGATCTCATTTTAAGAACTGATCTCACATTTGTCATCCTCAATTCCACTGATAGCCTGACTATATAGGACATGTGCCCTCCAAATTCCTGTATTAAAAACAGTGTGAAGTGCAGCCTCCCACAGTAGAGCTTTTCATTCCCTCCCCCTGGCCAGTTACTGCAATAACACAGTAAGTTTTTTTGAGTAATCATGTCCTCTTGCTCTAAGAAAGGAACACTAAGCCAAGAAATCACCTTCCATCCCCAAAACTGTGAGGTTTTATAGTTTAATGCAGTATTTGGATTTTTGAGATCAGACAATTTTATTTCCCTCCTCCGTAATTCTGGGGCGGGTCAGTCAGTGCTGCAGCGGGAGCGATTAGAGTGGGTGAATGCAATCTCCACAGACCTCTCCTGCCCGTGGCCGTGTGAGTGTAATGATTCATTGCCAATTTGGAGTCTGAACAGGCTCGCTGAACTTGGAGGCAGGCTGTCTAGCTCCCTCATCACATAAATTGAAAATATCTTTATACTCCAGCGACACCTTCTTCTAAATGTCCCGAAATGTAAGAAAATAACATAAATCTGTATTTTCAGCAATGTGGCAGGGATTTGCTAGCAGTTATTCTCATGGTTGCTGCTGGTCAGGACAAGGGTCACTGGCTCTTTTTAACCGGTAACCTCAGAATGTTATTTTCTAGCAAAGGGCTGCATTGAAGGCAGATAACGCTGCACTTTGCACATTTCTTGAGACACTAAAAACCCTGTGTAGTTATACTGACATCCCTTACAGATTAGACACAGCTCACACCAGACATATGCTTCCAGCTGCATCTACACCAAGGAAATTGGCAGTAGAAGGATGCCATTTCAAAAACATGCTGCTAGCAGGCAATACTGCATTGGGAATGGTTTATAACCCTGGCCCAAAATTGCCCTAGTTGAAGGTGTTCTCAACCTGTACGTTGCTGTACTGAAACCAGAGGGAAGCAGCACTGTGAAGCTGGAGGAGGAAGGATTGCTGCAGAATAGGGCTTTCCTGGAGTTCTCAATTCTTGTCTCATCGCTTCACCTGCCCTCAAAAATGGGCATTGTGAATTAAGAGATAAAGTTGAAGAGAAGCAATAAAAGAAGTTAAGATATCTGGGCTTTCTGTTACTAATCACAGTACCACAGCCATTCCCAAGGTTTCTGCCTGGAAGTCCTGCTTGGAGGAGCCATTGCATGGGCAATGCAAGGTTTTGGTCAGACTCTGGCACTTCCCTGCCTAATGAAGGGCAGGGTACCACAAGCAAACAGTCCTCCACCGTCCTCTCCTCTTTCATGCATTTACAGGAATTTTAAGCTATCTCTTTATGTTATTCCTGTGCTGAGTCCTTTTGGTTTGTTTATTTTCGCCTTCTTTCTAGGCTGTCCCCAGCTCACCTCTCTCTTGAGAGCTGTCAGAGAGTTTATACTAGTGCTAAATTATCGCAGAAATCTACACTGTTCCTGTGAGATATCTTCAAATACTATCTGCAGTCTCTGTTGGTATGCTGTCTTCATGTTTGCTGTGATAAAACAAACAGCAAGAGCACTACCACAGAATTCCTGTAATTTGGGATTAAAATAATAGATCAAAACTGATTTTAGGGGTGGATGAACTAGCCGCTTTCATGCTGAAAAATATCACATTAATATCAAAGCAGAGCTGTGGATCTTCTCTGATTTAGTCTCTCAGATTAGGATCCTTTCTTTGTTCGTGATTCCTCCTCATTGCTATTCATAGGCTTTCACAGTTCAGCCCCTGCCAGGACATCAGCCTGAAGTAATGGGAAACAACAGCAGCGCTGCATAAGGCCGAATCAAGAGACCGAGTTCCTGCTCAGTCACTGTAGCAAAAATTCTTGCTCAGAACCTTATATTGCCAGCAAGACACTGGAGCAGTTTGATTTTACACTTAAATGGAAATTCTTTGAAGTTTAGAAGAAACTAATCTGTAACTTGTTTCAGAAAGGCAATTAAAATGGGTCGTTAAACCTGGGTGTATCAAATTCCAATTAGCATTAGCATGGACAATATAATTAAAAGGTAAATTAGCCATAATAGCATAGACTAGAACACTTTTTACAGTAACTAACGGTCAATTGAAACCATGTACTTTGGTTTCTTGGGTTGTCAATGATAAGTTGGAAGGACAGAATAAGAGCCTGTATTCATTCATCCTGGGACAGTAATGTGTTCTGCGAAGTTAAACATGAGAAGCAGCAGTGTGCAAGCCAGCTGCCGTTAAGATCAGTGTAAGAGACCAAGTAGGATTAAGGAAAGCCAGAGGAAATACTCTAGAGCTGAAAAGTTTATGGATGAATTATGGATGTGGTGATATGGACACTATCTGTCCTACTCCAAGGTGCCAGTAGCAATTTGGTGCTAATTGTGAGAGGAATTTGTTTTGGCTGCAGTGAGCAGCCTGGGATCAGCCTTGACCTAGTGACCTGCCTATAAAGGTAGGTGGTAATAATAATGCAATCATGGTGATGTTTTAAGTGCAAATGAAGGACTCGGTAGGCAGTAAGGTTTAGAAATCCTATGGTGTTCGTTGTATACGTCATAGAAAATTCTGGGAAAGTAAATATGTGATATAAGTAAATGTAGAAAAATGGCAAAATTAAGATGGTGACTTTTGGGGACTTTCTCCAGGGTGTTATTTATTAGCACAGGCTGTCCTCTTCTGCCAAGGGGCAAATAATACTCTGAACAGAGGCACAGGTAACAGGCAGCAACTAGTCTTGTCTTCTTGCAGCATTTTGTGCATTGATGAAAGGCAACCAGCTCGGCTTTAATAACAGAGGAATGTTAACTTGTGCCTTACTGTCTGGTGGGAGGAGCTGTGGTTTAGTAATTTGTGGTTATAATTTGGAGAGATGAACCCAGGAGAGTAGGAGAGCATGGAGAGCCACACTTTGCTCTCAACCCCATCTCTCCATCCTGCGCAGCCAAACACTGTCAGTGGCCAGCGTGGAGCTGGAGGATGTCCTCAAACCCCTTCTCATTGGACTGCTGCAATGTCCCAGAGCCTTGGCTGTGCCCTGGACCAGAGGGGAGGGCTGAAGACTTTTAAAAAAAGACAAAAATAGTGGAGGCATATTGGCAAGGGGGAAGCTTTTCTTCCACAGTCTCCTTTCGCTGTGCTTTTGCAGTGTGCAGACATAGAAATCCACCATTACAGCAGCTTCCCAGAGTATTAAAAGCCATTTAGAATGCTGTGTGTTAAGAAAAGCTGTTTTCAGATCATCAGCTCTCACAGAGTCAGACCTCCTTTTCCATTGCTGTGTTTTTCACCGTCTTAGCTTAATCTTCCTGTTCTATTAACTTTATATTGGCCAGCTGGGACCATGTACAGTTGAGGAAACAGTCACTATCAACATAAAAAGGTTAATTAAAATGATTAACCTCACCAACAATTCCCTTATGGAAAAATCCTATAGAATTTAATAGAAAATGATACATTTACTATGTAGTATTTAAACTGTCAGAAAAAATTCCTTAGCAGGGAGGTAATTCCTTATTAAATTCTATAACTTTTCAGAGTATTCTCCACAGAACCTTATTGGATTAATCTATATTAAATTCTACAGCATTTGGCATAAATTTTTCAATGCCAATAACTCCTAAAAAGAATTTTGTAGTGATACAGGGATGTAGGGTTTGATGTGAGGTTTTTCAGAAGCAGGGAGGGTATTTTTTAGGAGCGACCTGTAATAGTACAGCAGTGATGTATGATTTCTAAATGCAAAAATAGGCAAAACAAAATTACATAAAATCAACCTAACATGTAAATATTGCTGCTTTTCCAATTATGTCCTAGGCTGAACTGATCCTGCCCATTGTGTAATCAGAAGTCCCTTTCTTACTGGAGCTGACAGGCAGAATTAGGGGAAGCGCACACTTTAATATGGGGTTTTTTTATTTGTGATAGAAATGGAACTATGAAAATTCTATTAGGGCCAGCTGAGAGTTTTGCTTGATTCCTCTTTGTCTTTGCTCAGCTTATCTCCTTGAGCACAGTATGTTTCTCCCTACGGAGGGTCGGGGAAGACAGAGAGAAGCAATTGTTATTTGGGAGTGTCACGTGGATATAAAAGCTATAAAACGTTCAAGGTTTTAGTATACTTTGCACTTTTAAAATGTAAATGTTGGGGAAGATATCAAAATTGCTATACAAGTCCTTTGTGAAATGTCTGCATAATGCTGAACTCTTACATCTGCTATTTGTATAGCATTTCTCATGATAATTTTTCTTTGTCACTTAGCTCGTGATCTTTGTAGCAGCTGTGAGCTCCTAATGACTTTCCCTCTCAGGTTCTGTGCTGTTATTTTTAAAATCTGAAGTACAAAGTAATTTGACACTTCCTCACATGTCCTTAGGGGAAATCGGTCCTGTTTGGTGCAATTTCTGGGACTCACAAAAGATTTGAATAAATATATTTTCTTCCACAACTTTGTAAACTCCAAATATTGATTTTTTTTTTCTTCCCCAAAAAGGTGTCTTTACATGAAGAATATTTATACTAGTGATAAAAAAGGGGGCCACTTTTTCAGGAATACTGTGGTTAAATTGATACCAAAAATGGTATCTTGGAGATGGAATCACACGAGTGATTCAGTCTCTGAAGTGTGTAACTCTCTAAGATGGTCTGGCCAAAGGGAATGGCTGCTTCTCTCTAAAGTCAGAGAAAAGACCCTCCATTGCCCCGTTCCAATAGCCCTGTACTCTGTTGTTGAACACAGTAAGAGGTGGCTTGAGAACTAAAAAAATCGATGGGAATTAGGTATCTAACCTACAGCCTCAACCAGACAGAAATCTGCATCTCTGGTTTCATAAACACCTTGGCAAGCCTGTCTGCTCTCTGCTTTGTAAATGTATATATACACGGATACAACCTTTTATGATTTTTACTATATTGTGGGCAGTTAATCAGTGTCCAAGCAGTGATATTTAAGCACTCGCTGTTATCTTCAGAGATCTATTTTATTTATATTTTACAAAAGGCATCTCTCTGCAGAGAACTAATAAAAGGTCAGTGCCAAACGTAAATGTCAGAAACCCCGTTTTGAGAGGTTATGAGCAGATGAGTTGTTCAACAGTCAAAAGTCTTCTGTTGAAATGTTTTTTGTGTTTAGTTTCTTACACTGCACTGGCCACTCTTGCCTTTGAGGGACCCTCTCTTCCCTCCCCAAGGGAGGTGCAGGAGATGCAGTGCAGGAGGCAGTGGACTGGTGGTCAGAGGGGACAGTCAGCCCTCAGGGTACTCAAAGAGCATCTGTCCCCAGGTCTGCAGAGAGGAGAATAACTGTGCACCAGGGACAACTCACAGGGCTCAGTGTGGGCAAACCATGGTAAACAGGACAATGCTGAAAGGCTTTGTGTTTAACCCGGCAGTTAAGATACTGATATTTTAAATGTTGTTTGTGTAAGGTGTTGCAGAAATAAAAAAAGACAGCTCAATTTTTTTGGACAGCCAGATTTTCCATTTGAATAATTTTTGTGCCTAGGAGGTGCAGCGCTGTACGGCCGACATGAACATCACTGCAGAGCATTCCAACCACCCTGACAACAAGCACAAGAACAGATACATCAACATCCTGGCCTGTAAGTAAGCACTGGCCTAAGCACAATGAATCAACCCAAAAAGACACTCTCCTCTCACAGCGTGTCTGTGTGTGACTGGGACAGGCAGGTGGCTCCAGGTTACATTATTACACAGTCATTAATAAACATGTGAAAGTGTGGCTGGGAGGTCATTTCTCCACTAAAGGCATTGGATTTTTTGACAGCTTCTCTGGAGCCAGGATTTCATTCCATCTTTAGTTTTGAAATGTTTTGCAGTTTCATGGTCCAAGCGTAGTTTTAGAAGTAGCAGTTTGGTATGAAATTTTGTGGAGGAATAACTGGGATCAGTTGATGATCAGAGCTCTTCTGCCTGCTAATGCCTGAAAACTGGCCTAAGGGAAGTGCATGGTGGAGCAAAAGGTTTTACTGATGATTCCTGGGATTACCTTACAATCCCAGAGGTGCTAAATCTTGCAGAGTGTATCTGCTGTATTTCAAACTGCCTCAGCTGTGTGTAGGACTTGGACAAACAGTGATCTTTGTAGCACAGAGCAGGCTTTGCCTGTATCCCTCTGAGAACTGCAAATCTGGGCTCTGCTCTAGAATGCAAATTATTGCATGTCTGGGATGGAAATGCAGTAACTTTTTCCCTATTGTTCTCTGATGTGGCATGGATCACAGATGCAGCAGTCACTGTGGTTTAAGAACAGAAATGGAGAGCCACTGGTAGAAAGTTCACAATGTTCATAAACATTGCAATAAATCCCGAATGTTTTTGATGGCACAGGAAGGAAATACATGTCTCTAACAGATTCTCATAAGTAATCAAGGTGTCGGCTGAGGATCAATTCCCAGACCTGTGAAAGGCTTGCTGTGTGGCCTTGGGCAAGGGCATTCCTTGAGCTTGTCCCAGCTGTCATTTTAGACATGGATATCTGGTCCCTCTAGGCATAGAGATGTGCCATTGGAGGAGAACTGGAGCAGGCACTCCAGTCCTCTGGATTGTCCCTGGAGGAAAGTCTCTCTCTGCTGGTCCTCAAGGAAGGGAACTGAAACCACAGTATTCATGCTTAAAGTTGGCTGATGTGTCTCATCTCTGCATGAGTGGGAAGTACCACCCAGCCCAGTGCCTCTGCCTAGGAGCAGAAGGACTGTGATTTCTTTCTGCTTTAAGACAAAGTGAAGCGTTTGGGCAAAACAAAAAGAGGAGCTACATATTATGACCTCAAGTCTGTCCTAGTGGTGTGATGACGGTGGTGAAGAAGTGAGGACATTCACTCGTCTCCCAGAGCCAGTAGAGGTGTCTGAGCCCAGCACTGAGGGAGGATGATGAGCCAAGCAGAGGCAGCTTTGCCTGCCAGAGCCGCGCCGGTGTCTCTGTTCGGCGTTACAGCTCCGTGGGGTGCCCTGGCTCTCTGAACCACTGCGTGTGATGTGGGTGATCCCAGAGTTGTGCTCCTGAGGCTCCAGTATTCCTTAAAGAGAAGCTGTTCCAGCATGAACCATGTACTTTTAAGGATGTGAAGACTGACGACCTGCTACCATGAGCAGGTGACCAAGAACAGATGCTCCCATATCCTTCTTGATTCCAATCCAAGGCCAATCTCTTCTGTGTATTAGTAGGGGCTACCTCAATACCCAGGAAATGGGATGTTTACTTGCAGTTCTGCAGTGTGTTTCCCTAATGCTTCTCTGCTGTGTTTTTTATCCTGCAGATGATCACAGCAGGGTGAAGCTAAGGCCTTTACCGGGGAAAGATTCTAAGCACAGTGACTACATTAATGCTAATTATGTCGATGTAAGTTGCTTTAATTGTTTTTATCTTCTCTACCATTGAATTCTTCCACAAGGAGGAAGTATTGCCATTTGTGGAGTGATTGTGTTTTCCAGCTTCACCTGATAATTTTGCTATGAATTCCTCGCTATTCTGAATAAGAAAAGCACCTTTCTTTGTTACTTTTAAAATATTAATATGTCTGCCATGATATTGCTTTCATCTCACTTGGCATTATGGTTTTCTTTGAAGGGTTACAACAAAGCAAAAGCCTACATTGCTACCCAGGGACCTTTAAAGTCTACCTTTGAAGATTTCTGGAGGATGATTTGGGAACAAAATACTGGAATCATTGTCATGATCACAAACCTTGTTGAAAAAGGAAGAGTAAGAGATTTTCTAGTTTGTTAGCAGTTGCTCCTTAACACCTCCGTAAATCACCTGGGCAGAATTTGTTTTTAAATGGCTTGGGTTGATACATATTGATGCATAATACATAACGAACATAACAGAGGGGTACATAGCTCGCCATTATTTTACTTTTTTAAAAAAGCTCTAAACACAAACACAAAGCAGCAGCTCAGACCCTCAGCCAACCCACCTGACTGTGTCTTTGTTCAGAGGAAATGCGATCAGTACTGGCCGACAGAGAACAGCGAGGAGTACGGCAACATCATCGTCACGCTGAAGAGCACAAACGTCCACGCCTGCTACACCCTGCGCCGCTTCACCGTCAGGAACACGAAGATGAAAAAGGTGAGTTCTCATCCAGGTGTCTTATGGCATCTGTGGGATGCAAGGCACACCAGAGCAAAACCCGGGGTTTGCTTAGGCAACTCGAAGGAGCAGGTGGGTGGGAAATAAGTAAGCAAAGCCAGGATTACAAGGATCCTGGTGAAAGGTTCAGCCTGTGTTTGTTTTTCTTTAGTTCACTGCTGCTTTGGTGTCACAGTTATTGCTGTTATTACCTGTTCCCATATGTATTTTTCCTTGAACTCTGTCTCCACCTAGCAGGAGGCAGAGCTGCAGAAGATTTCTTCTGTCAGAGTCCACCACTTTCTCAGCTGAGCAAGCCAGAAGGACTGATCATATTTCTGTGCTTCTTTTCCCTCATCTCCTCCTTCCCTCTGCGCACACTTGGCACACAGGGTCAGAAAGGAAACCCCAAGGGGCGGCAGAACGAGAGAACGGTTATTCAGTATCACTACACGCAGTGGCCCGACATGGGTGTGCCCGAGTACGCGCTGCCCGTGCTCACCTTCGTCAGGAGATCCTCTGCAGCCAGGACCCCGGACATGGGACCAGTGGTGGTGCACTGCAGGTATGATGGCTGTGACTAAACACCTCAAGGCAGGCACACCTAGTGCACACTGTGTGCTCTTTCATGCCAGCTAACAGCAACATCATAAGTTACTAACACAGCAGGAGTGTGCCAGCCCCATGGGGTGCAGGTACATGACCTTGCTTTGCCTACATCTTAAGACAGCTCCAATGCAAAAGCTTCCCCACTGACACAGGGTTTTGCTAATGCCACAACACTAGGCTACCAAACATTGCACTGGTGTGGTTGTGAAGCTCCTTGGTTGAAGCTTGTTTGTAGCCTGTCCGTTCAGGGCATGGACAGGACAGGATCACCTCTGCTGGGAACCAACCACATGAACACATGGACACCTGGGCATGGCACTGCCACTGAACCACATCCACACTCACCAGCACTTGCAGCCAGAACAATAGATCAGTAGATAAATTAGTTCAGGGATGTGGTCTTCATCACTGTGTTTGAGGGGGCTGCACAGCACCACAGCGAAGGGGAGAGGATGATGGAGGTTACAGCTCCTTCCTGAGCAGAAACTGAGACTTTCTGAAGAGCCCCCCTCTCTGTTGAGCCCAGGACCACTCTCCTCCCTTGCAAAGGAGTCCTGCAAGCATCAGCCCCTTCTCATGCCTTCCCACAGTGCTGGTACCACTTGCATTTCCAGTTCCACTGGAATGCTCCTCACTCCTCACCACCTGGAGTGACCTTGACGGTCCAGGATAGCAGCAGCTTGGCATAGGGTGAATCTCTATATGGCTTTTTCCAGCCAACTCCAGTAACAGCAGCAGTTGTTGACAGGAGCCAAGTGTGAACAGCCAGAGTGTGAAGTCCAGGACAATGGCAGCCCCATCCTGACACTGCTGGCACAGGTGTGATGGCTTATGTTGTGTTCATCCTCATCCTGCACCACAGAAGGGAGGAAATATATGCCTGGTAATATTCCCAGAAAACCAAAATATTTTACTGTGAAACTTTAGTGGTTGAAGCTAGCAGGAAAATGAATGTCTGTGAACAGGAATATTTGCTTAATTCTGTTCTGGTGTTAAGTCTACATTTGTTTTCATCTAACTGTATTACATGGGTTTCTCTTATGTTTTCTGTAGTGCTGGTGTTGGCAGGACTGGTACCTACATTGTGATAGACAGTATGCTGCAACAAATAAAAGACAAAAGCACAGTTAATGTCCTGGGTTTCCTGAAACATATCAGGACACAGCGCAACTACCTCGTCCAGACAGAGGTAAAAATTGCAGCAGGGTTGAATTTAAAGTCATGTCCATTTTTATGTTGTAATTAAAAAGAAAATAGATTTTTCCAGTTACATCCCTGTAAAAATTGAATGCATTACTGGCATTTTTTTGCACTAGAATGTCTCTTTTTTTAAACCAGAAACTTCAGATTTTGCTTTAGACTCATTCATAGCTGTGCTATGTTTATAGATGTTTATTCTGGATTTGGTGGTATTTGCATGGGCGGCTTGTTTTGCACACCATTTCCTTTAGTGTGCTCTACCCCTCAGTCAAAACCAGCTGTTTAGGTTATTCCAGGTGCCTGCCTGACATGCTGATATTTTTCTAGGAGCAGTACATTTTTATTCATGATGCCTTGTTGGAAGCCATCCTTGGGAAGGAGACTGAAGTGTCTGCAAACCAGCTGCATAGTTATGTTAACAGCATCCTCATACCTGGCATAGGAGGGAAGACACGACTAGAAAAACAGTTCAAGGTAAGGTTTATCACTGCCATGCAGAGGGACCTAATGTTCCTGCTGTCTTTTGTATGGCCTGTCTTCACTGTCAGTTGTCATGGCTAAGGAACCAAACCAGAACACTTGATTAGCACAGCTTGAGAAGTTCAGACCTCTACAGTCTTAGCTATGCTGCTGGAAATCAGTGCTAACACTCTTCAGTCAGAGATGAGAAGAGGGACATGGACCCTGGTTTGGACTGTGCTGCTGGTCAACCTGTTCCCAAGGGAGCTTGGATGTTCCCGAGTCAGTGGTTAGCTTGGCTGGAAGTCTTCCTCCAAACTGTGGCTCTCGCATATATATATGCATATATTTATATATGCATATATTTATATATATATATGGAGAAAGACAGGAGATAAGATTCTTTGCACCACCTACTATTTCAGCACTGTAGATAAAGACTTAAAAAATGTTTTAAGACCAGGAAGCACAACATGCCTTTCTCATTGCTAATAACAACACTTGCTGTGTTTCCCTGCTGTGTCAAAGCTGCTTTCTTCCTGGCCAAAGTAATTTTTTGTGCCCTGATCTCTTGTTTGAAACCTAAGATTTTTTGATTGCATATTATTTGAAGGCATTTTAAAATATTTTCTGAGACTTTTTATCATAAAGACATTATAAGTGACATCTGTTTTCACAGCTAAATTCACTCAGTTAATACCTACCCAATAACTACCCAAGGAACCAAAAATGTTAAATTACACCAGGTGCCAAGCTATTAAAAAAAAAACAGGCTCTTCTCTGAAATCACTTGTAGAAGTCTCAGTATTTCTTCATCAGTCAGGACATTCCAGATGCTTAATTACTAAATTAAAGAAGCACACACACACACACACACACAAAATGCAGTTGGAGAAGATTTCTTATTTTAAAAAGTGTTGCACTTCTACAAATTATTTTAAATTATATGTATTAATTATATGTTTTCTGATGGCTCATGACAAAGTTTCACAACTCTAAGTGGCATTTATAGAAATTGCTTTCTCTGCCAACATCGCACAGGTTTAGAAACCCCATAACTTCTAACGGGGCTTATGCCAGTGCATAGATGAGTTGAGAGCTGACTTGTTCAGAATGTATTTCAAATTGGGATGTGACCAGCAACAATTATTGTGTCTTCCTCTTCTTTCTGCTGTTGCCACAGAGGTAGCAGAAGATAACTTGTGCTCATGCCCTGGTACACCAAGTTACATTCAACCATCTTAGAGTGAAGTTATGCTGAGTGGTGAGTTGCTAATGCAGGAGATGGGAAAGGCACCTTTACTCGCTTTGTTCTGGTAGAGTTTCCCCACGCAATGGGGGAATATTCAAATACAAATCTGCCTTCCTGACTTTTCTGTGCGCCCCCAAGCATCCCAGAATGAACATGGCAGACCAGAGAATGTAACCCATGGCCTCAGATCTCAGATAGCAGTGTAGTGGGTTCCCCAAAGGCCTGGCAGGAAAAGACATTCTGCAGGAATGATCTGGCTTTTATTTTAGAGGAGTGAAAAAAAAAAAACAAAAAAATAAAAGTTTTGTTGTTCTATTTTGCTAGCTTTTCTTCCTTGAGACCTGCTTCTGACTGAACATATCTGCAAGTCTTTGAAATATATTCTCAAAGATAACGAAACATAGTGCTCTGTGAAAATACATTTTGATGGAACTTCATTTTCAGGATGTTTCGAAGCTGAGAGCTGCAGAGATCTTTTTATTCATTAAACATGTTGTATGAAAAGGATTATTTCCATTGGCATCTTGAGTACTTTAAACAAGTTTAACAATGCAGTTTATTCTTCTACTAATGCATCTTCACAGGAGTTGGCAAAGAAACCTCCTCTCTTCATTTAGTGTGCTCTGAGGACTGACTTACTACTTTATTCTCTTTCAGCTGGTTACGCAGTGTAATGCAAAATACGTGGAATGCTTCAGTGCTCAGAAAGACTGCAACAAAGAGAAGAACAGGAACTCATCAGTCGTGCCGTGTAAGATCACATCTTCAGTTTGATTACTGCCTAGCATAACTTTTTGTACTGAATTCTCCTGGTGTTATGCATGAAAAGGCATAGCCACTAGGAAGGGGAAATGTAATCTTTTGTTCAGTCCAAGCTGTCTTGTCTTTCGGTATTACCCTGATGAAACTGAACAAAAGGAAATAGTTGCAGTGTCAGCCAGATATACTGTCCAAGTGAAATGTTAATTTGAAGTGCTTAAGAATTTGAATAATTAGGTAGGGGATAAATCTATGGAATACTGAAAGATTACTTTGATACCGCTCCCAGCTCCGGTGAGATCTCCCAGAGTGATTGGCACAAGTTGTTTGTAATTCAGCTACTGCACTCAATTTCTCTGTGTGAGCCGCCCCAGATTTGAGGGTATTTAGTGCCTGGGGACAGTTTCACAGTCATTAATATGGAATCTGTGCGTGGCTGTCAAGCAATATGAATTTGCACCAGACCAAGCACGGACACGTCATCCCCATGACATTACCACAGTACAGGACAGAGGACAGATGATGGCCAAGCCAGCACAAAGGAACAGTGGCACAGATACAGTCCATCATGAAGTTTGTTAGTAAAAGCAGAAGTCATCAGAATATATCTTAGAAACAGATGTAAACGGGGCAGAAATAATCTGTATGGCTTTGCCCTTTGGGTCATGCAGCTGCAATGATTTCAGTTGGGCTTTGGGGGCCTGTCACAGGGTTTCAGGATGATTTTGAACTCAGCCTTTAAACACAGAGGAGTGTGGATCTGCTGAAGAGCACACACACACTGCTGGGTGGTTCCCCATTAGGGAAAGGGTTTGTCTCTGGAGGTTCTCTCACCTCGTGAATGATGGCAATGCTGCCGAGTGGTAGGGAAAACAAAATAAATCAGCTGGGTTTGTGTGCTGCTGGAGACAAATGGAACACTACAGTCAGGAATTACCTGAAATCCCCTGTTATCACTGCATATACTGTTATTTGGTAATTCAGCCTGCTGTGAAAATCTTTGCTATAGTAAAATTTGATTCCTGAAATTACTTTGTCCTTGTGGGAATATTGTGCAACATTCTCTTTTATATCCTGTGTTAGCAGGCAGTGCTTTAACGCAGTTAAAGTGCTGGCCTGCTCCTGCGGGAGATGGGAGCTGCACAGTGTTTGGTTTGTTAACAGCTGAGAAATTCTTACTTTCTGCATTGTGCCATGACCAGACTTTGATCTTTTTTCTTTTTTTTTTTTTTTCCTCTATGTTGTTTTTTTTATGTTATAGCTGAGCGTGCTAGAGTGGGCTTGGCACCGCTGCCTGGAATGAAGGGAACAGATTACATTAATGCCTCTTATATCATGGTGAGGAAGCCAACACCTAATTACAAAGTAAAATCAATTCTAAGGTGCTAAATACCAGATGCCTATAATTGTCTTAATTCTGTATGTAATGGCTATGTATTAACAGATGAGATTTTAACACCTTCCCCATAATGTAAAGCTATTAACCGTGCTTTATTAAAGATTCTTGCCTAAAAAATTAATTACAAGATGCATTTAGATGGGATGTGTATTTCCATGAGATACAGTCAAATAAACGCTGGGATTTAGAGTAAATTAAGACAATAAGGACTCTGCAGAATGGAAATGGAGTTAATTATAGCCCGTATAAAAATACTGGGGAATACAATGAAATAGGGTCATTATGTGTCCCCCAAAGATGAAATTAATGCTTTAAAAGTATTGAAGGCAGTAAGTAACTGTGTGTTTGTTTTGCTGCAAAAGGGCTACTACAGGAGTAATGAGTTCATCATAACACAACATCCACTGCCACATACGACTAAAGATTTCTGGCGAATGATCTGGGATCACAATGCACAGATCATTGTCATGCTGCCGGACAACCAGAGCCTGGTGAGTTGCCCATGTCCCTTCCAGCTGGGCACAGCACAGGGTCACTTGGGTACCTGCTGTGGCTGTGCTCTGGTTGAAACCAAAGCCACTTTTTGAGCCATCTTCTCAGACTTTGCCATAAGCTTGTTACAAAAAGGTGAGTTCCAAGATGTGGGGCATGTTCTTTTGCTGTCTCCTTCTGCACTCACCCCTGGGAAAGACATCCTGGGCTGGATGGACCTCACTGCTCACAGGCAGCTGACAACCTCTGTGATGCTCCTGAGGCAGGATGCAAGGCACTGAGGGCACTGAGAGGCTGGAGTTATGGGTAAGGACTTGAGGAGCAGAAATGGAGGCAGGGACAGTAGATAATTGCTTGTTTGCCCATGGGCTTAAGCCTCAGGCCATGCAAGATTATGGTTGTGGAAGGCTACAAACGCTATATTTAATGAAAGTAAAAAGCAAACACGTATGTTAATTTAAGTGGAAATAATGCATCAGACAGAGAGAGAGAGAATAAGGAGACACAGGTGAAGTGCTAATCACTACTTCCAGATTTACCAGCACGTCTCAAGAGGGCGTGTTGAAAAGGATTAAGAGCTAAACGATTAGCTTTTTCATGCACGCATCACTGAGGTGAATAGACAATTGTAGCTGAAAGTGGAAGAGAAACCACCTTCATTACAGCAGGAAAATAGCAGTCATGAGGGGCTACTAAAGAGGCAGCAGTCAATATGTTGCTTGTGTGCAGGGCAATGAAAGGGATTGCAGGCACTGCGAGGCAAGGAGCGTTCAGAGAAATCCGATCGAATCGGAAAGCACTAATGAAATGAAAGTGTGTCAGGTGGAAATGAAGAAGCTGATCTTGTCTCCATGTATATATGAAATTGCTCTGCAGAACTATAGTGATTAAAGGCTGGGTTTGGCCACATCCCTGCTTTCACCAGGTGAAGGGGCGGCATTCCCAGGGTGGAGGCTGGCCAGCGAGGCAGCAGCATCCCAGTGTCAGCTCAGTGGTCAATGTGGGATGTGTTGGCTGGCAAGGAGGGGTGGCACGGGACTAAAACAGGTGCTGAATCTGTAATGCCAAAGGACAACACAATAATGCAAAGTACCTGCTGCGTGAAGACCTGTCAGGTGGCAGGACAGGTCCCTTCCCTGGCACTCAGCGATATTACTCTGCTTCCCAGTGCCTCTGCTTACTGAGGGCAGAATTGTCAAGGCACTCAGAGGACTTAGGACCTTATGTCACATTTACAGAATAAACCTTGACGGCCCAAATCTCAACAGTATCTTGCATGTCATGTGCACCAAAGCTCCGGACCCACAGAAATAGGCCTGGTTTTAGAGGCATGTGCGTGGCCACAGTGGGATGACGTGGGTTCAGAGCTCATGTTTTCTCATGAGTGAAAGATGGGTTGTCCAGAGACACAGGCGTGCTCTGTGCATGCAGCCAGAGCAGCTTCTGTGCTTGTGCTGCAGGGACATAGACCTCTGAAGCCAGGAGTAGAAACAGACTTTGCATGTATGTGGTGACAGACCATAATTTCCTCTCTCTGCAGCAAATTAGGAATTCACAGTTATTTTTTAAAGAACAGCTTTGACAGGATGTTACCTACATCCTGTCAGTCAGACTTCTTCAGCATTGAGCTTCTTCCACCCTTCACAGTCTCACTGAGATTTTACAGTGTCCCTTCAGTAGAGGTGTTTTCCTGGAGAACTTCCATTAAGTTAAACCAATGTTTTTTTTCAAGGCTAAGAATATTTGTGTTTCTTCCTTCCTCTTCACTCCTCCACTTGCTCCTAAAAATTCAAGCCCTACATAAGTATCCCATCAGTCTTCTACCTAGACCTGATCCACAGAGCTTGAGTTTTGGATTAGACTACAATAAACACAAATTAAAAATAATTTCATTAGTTTTTAAAGGTCAATGAGTTTTTTCTAAACAAATATCAGTTTTTCAAGCAAAACTGTAGACAGGAGGCAATAAAGCCTGGGATACAATATAAAGGTTAAGTATGAATGAGCTAAGATAACTATTTCCCTATGAAACCAATTAAAAAGCAGATGTTACCTGTTTGGACACACAAAGGGAGGATCTGGCAGGCTTCCTGCCTACTGTAACAGTAAATTTGTTTTAGACGGAAATGGCTTGTAAAGGTCAGCTCCTGATCATCTCTGTTTATCAAACCAATTTTTTGATCCACTGGATTTTTCAGTTGCACACAAGGTATCTGAAAGGCTCCAAAAATGTGTTGTTTCGTTTCTCCAGGCAGAAGATGAGTTTGTGTACTGGCCAAGTCGCGAGGAATCCATGAACTGTGAGGCCTTTACTGTGACCCTTATCAGCAAAGACAGACTGTGCCTCTCTAACGAAGAGCAAATTATCATCCATGACTTTATCCTTGAAGCTACCCAGGTAAAATAAACCTCTGAATGTGGGTCTTTGCTTTTCACCAAAATTATATTGATGGCATTTAAATGAGGAAGGAGAATAGTTCAGAAACAGTTTTGAAAAGGATTACTTGTAAATGCATGTGCATGCATGTTGTTCTTAGAGGAAAGGGATTCTCACTGAATTCTTCTCCCTCTTACATCCTTTACCTCCAGGCAGATTCCTTTAGTTAGTAAGATTGTAGTAAGTTTGTCTTACTTCAAAGTGAAGACATGTGATTTCAAAATGAGAAACCAAAATAGATTGAATTACTTTTTGTAAAGTACATCAAGGTCTATTGTCCTATTTCTGCTTATAAAATGCATCATTTATAATTTGTCCAGGGGTCTTAACTAAACATAAAAATGTAAACACATTTCTTTGAACTATAAACCTGCTTCTAGTTTGCTATCTGAATTGCAGCCGGACTTTGCTGCAAACCATTACTTTTCAAGCCCTTTTAAATTTTAATTCCTTGGTTGCTCTTGTTTGACTTTTGAACTATAAGGGCACTCAGAGAGGTTTGATATAAGCCCTGAACTCAAATACAAAATCTGTATCAATTAAACATTTTGTTAAGTTTGCATTATTTTGGGGTGTTCACTGTTGCAGAAATGGTGGAGCTGTGTGTCTGTCCTCTTTCTATATAACCTGTTTGGAAGAAGAAAGTTTCTCTTCAGTGTGTAATGAGGCTCTTCCCTCTTTCTCCCTGGAGTGGATGAGTGTGGAGTGAAAGAAGCTAATGCCCAGGCTGGTTTGTCATTGCAGGATGACTACGTTCTGGAAGTCCGCCACTTTCAGTGCCCCAAATGGCCAAACCCAGACGCTCCCATAAGCAGTACCTTTGAACTTATCAATGTAATCAAGGAAGAGGCCTTAACAAGGGATGGCCCCACCATAGTTCATGATGAGTATGTCATCACTTTTCTCTCATTTATGTGCAGATTGTACAAGATGTTACTCAGCTACAAGACACTTCTTAGGAGTGATGTCCATTCCTGCATGGAGCAGATGGAGTTTAGTGGTCTAGGGAACAGGATAAGAATATTTAAACTTCCAGAGATGAGTTTTCAGTTGGCACCTGAGGCCAAATACATTTTTCTTAACACAGTTTTGATGCTGGTCATAATCTTAGGTGGACTCAGGAAGTGAGGCTGTTGGCTTTGGAAGCATTTCGGGTTCTTCTGCACCTGGAAGCATCCCGAACAAATCCTACAACCTGTTTCAGAACCCAGCAGAGCCCTGGTTTAGATAAGACTCTAAGCAGCCCAATATGAGCTTATGGTAACTAGTTTCAAAACAGCCTGAGCTCCTGTCTAACAGCTCAAGTTTAATGTGCCAGAACAAGCTCAGCTCAGCTGTGTCTCAGGATGAGCAGCAGAAGTATCTTGTGACAAAGGGCCTACGTTTTCTGAGAGAAGATTTATTTTTATTCCTTCTGCTTCCCCAAAAACACTCCAAGGGGCCCATATGGTGCCAAGTGGGAGGGAGGGAGCCTGCTAACATGGGGCCAGCGTGCCCCAACACTTGCCTCTTTTGTGAGCATTGTCCTGCCAGCTACGCTTGAACACCCAATTATAAAGGGTGCTAAATATTGCATTGCATATTATTACTTGCACGCATTATGGAGCTGCAAAATACCATTAGAGTGAGGCTGGAGGCTGGGTCTAACAGGATCTCTTTGGAGGGACTGTTTCCTGATGGGCAGAGCACTTCCTGGAGTCATTCTGTCCTTAAAATCCCAAGGAGGCCCAATTTCTGACACTGCTTGTGTTGTCCTTAGAGCGAACACTGAGTGCAAACACCTGCTATACCTGCAGCCCCTTTGCTCTACAGCCCATTAGACTTTCTGTCATTGCCACAAAGCAGAATTAGTGGGAGGGTTTGGGGAATCTTCCCCTTCTTTGCAAAAACATTACTACCACACTCTGGTGTTTCAGTGGTCAGACCAGCTGCTGTGCTGGGGTGTGGACACCACTGGTATCCACTGATGCTGAAACAGCTTTCCCTGCTTTCCCTGCTGCAACAGGTTTTTCCCAACTGACTCCTGAAAATGGTGCCTTGGGCTGCAGCAAGTAGTTTTTCTCCCACAACCTCCTGCCTTGCTAATGTACAGTGTAAGCTCTGTTGCCTTTTGCCAGCACTGATTAATTCCAGGCTGGTTTTAATATTCATGCTTTGGGTAGTCTGAAGTGAGGTTTTGCTACTCTTGCAGTATTTAAGATTATGTTTTACAAAATTAGAACCATTATTGATTTGGGCATTTCATGCTAGATGAAAAAAAAAAGAAAATCAAAATCGTATTCCTAACAGTGCTGAGTCATTCCTTCTGTAAATTGCTTTTTTGGTTTATTTTTCATATTCAATGATTTTATTTTTATGCCTAATACATAATGTGGATTCTGTTTTTCATTGAAGCCTAAGCAAATGTAGCTGAAAATGAAAATTTCCCTTTGCTACATCCAACAACTATATCACATAATCCACTAATAATTACAACTGCAGATTAATTCCAAATATATGAATTTGCAAATAATAAATGCATGTGGTATTTAGGAAGTACATGGTGGGATGAACTTGATAACATTTTAAAAAGTTCAGAAATTCCAACTTGAGACAGTTGTCAAGATTTTTAAATATAACTTCCCATGTGTAGGCAACTAGATAAAGATCTGCGGCATAATTTTCCACAGGAAAAGTCTTCAGATTGTTGGGAACTGGAGATAACCAGCCCAAATAAAAATGAGGCCATTATACCCTCAGAGACATTTAGTTGTGTCCTGTCAGGCACATGCACTGGGCACTTTGTCCACTGTCCCTATAGATGATCTGTCACAGCCATCTGGATGGTGCTGCTGCTTCTTTTACAGACTTCACCTGCAACATAGCAGATCTGTTGTTTCCCATTTCTAGGCAAGCTGAATTTGCAAAAATCATATGAAATTAAGTCAGTAGATGTCTTGATTTCCACAGGAATGCTGTAAAACATCCTAGTAGTAATCCTGTGATACAAGATGGTATGGCAGCCCTTGCTCATCATTTCTATTTTCATGCACAGCTCTCCAAACAGTTTAGAGAGCAGGGCAGCACCGATGCCCTTTTACCAGTGGGGACATTTAGACACAGACTTTCTCAAAGTCACAGAGCAGACTCATAGCAGAGCCAGGACAGAATTTCAGTCTCCTGAGTACTGGGAGAGCAGAGTGGAGGCTCCTCAGAAGCAGTTGTGTAGGATCCTTTATGCCATGCCTCCCACCTGCACATACAGCACAAGCACACCCCCAGATTTACAGCGCTGAGATTTCCACCTGACCTCTCAAGGACACATTGAGTTGTGCTCCTCACGAAATAACCACTGCTCAGGTTCTTATTACATGACAGCACAGCTCAACTCTTCAGAATCCATAATGTCTCTTGGGTGCCTGGCTCAGGGATGTTGCCTCTTGCCGATGAATCAGACCTAAGGAAGACTTTGAGATGTGCCCCATTTACTTGTGAGCACCTCACAGCCGTGTTATTTTGCTGTAATTGTCAGATGTGGAGGAAGAGGAAAAGTCTCATTTCTTTCTAATGGTTTATGTTTTGCTTGAGCTCCCACTAATGAATTTAAAATACACTCAACTGTAATGCAGATGCTCTCAGTACACGTGGCGTGTGAGAACTGATTTCGGTGTTACAGTCTCCAGGCTGGGTATTTTGAAATGGCTCACTTTCTGCTGCTGATACAGTTCTTTGTGTTGAATAGTACAGATATCCTGAGATGACTTGGTGTACCATCAAATTTCTTCTATAAATCAAAATGACTAAAAATTAACCACTACAAAACAGGCATTTAATAGATACAAAGATGAACTGCAGCAATCAGATAAGACTGTAACAACATTTTCATGACCCTGTGTCTGCACCCAGGTGTGTTTCTGAGTAACTCATCATTCTGGTGTGGTTTTCCAGGTATGGAGCTGTGTCAGCAGGAACGCTATGTGCCCTTACCACTCTGTCCCAGCAGCTGGAGAATGAAAATGCTGTCGATGTTTTCCAGGTGGCAAAGATGATAAATCTTATGCGGCCTGGAGTATTTACAGACATTGTAAGTCTTTAAATGGAATATAAATAGATAGCTTACAAGGTTTTCATCTGAGACCAAAAGCATCCACTAAAACACACGTTGTGTATGTTATCAAGCCCTACAGCATCTGCTACCGAGCAGAATTTGCATTTGGACTTTTTTTGTGTAGTTGTCATTTTTTATAAACCTCATACCCACACTGTAAGTCTCTGATTTGCAGTTAAACCTATTTCTCATACATTGGAGGGGGGCACCATAAGGCAGTCCTAGCAGAGAAGGACCTTTTGACTTGTCATCATCCCCCTGCCAGCCCTGTGAGCTATGCTGTGCTGTTTAAACCTGGCATGTTGTGGTCTGAAGGGATGCAGCAGAGCAGGTGGAGCTCCAGGGAGATAAGGCTCTTCACTGGGTGTCCAGCAAGAGCAGCCTCCTTGGCTCAGTGTGTGTGGTACGAGGTTCTGCTGCCCAGGGACCAACCTGAGGCTGAGCTGTGGCCTCAGGTGTTTGTCCTGCCCTCCTGTAGCACTTAATAATACATCAGAAACCATATAATCTACCCAAAACTGGAATTTGGGTTGACAAGGTAAAACTAGATTAACAGAGATAATTGCTCTAAGTCTATTTCTTTGCTCTATGTGTGCTTCTGGTAACACATATCCATGACCTTCCCTGGAAATGCCAAATTTAAGTGTCGCTCATTTATGTACACCTTAAAGGATTGAAATAACTCGTCCTTTCTTTTCCAGGAACAGTACCAGTTTCTTTATAAGGCAATGCTAAGCTTGGTCAGCACTAAGGAAAATGGAAATGGTCCCATGACACTGGACAAAAATGGTGCTGTGATGGCCAGTGATGAATCTGATCCCGCAGAAAGCATGGAGTCTCTTGTCTAATTGGAAACCTGAAAAGGCACTTAATTTGTAGAACTTCTGAAGACTGAGTGAACTTTTTTGAGGCCTTTTTTGCCAGACTCTAGGTTATACAATAACCCAATTACTTTTTTACACTGATAAAAGTTTTGATATTTATTTTTTGCCATTTTATGTCTTAATGGTATCCTACTGAGCATTTGCACCTCTGTTTATTTCACACAGTGAAACGCAATTTTATCTAGTTTGCACTATATGATCAGTGTTACTGCCTATAATACTCTAATACAAGACAAGCCCTGATGTGACATTCCATGACAACAAACATACGCTTTTTTCTGTTTTGTTTAAATGCAGTGAAGTTTTGCTAACTACAGTGACCCTCGAATCCTAAATCTTGAATGCTAGGCCAGATGGATTCTTTCTACAACAGATACTGTACCCCTTCATACCATATTTATTATTTAATGATCATGTCACAGTTTTGATAACGGTGTTCTGCATTCCATGGAGTGGATGAGCAGTGTTCATCCTTTCTTGACAAAACGTGGCAGGTGATTATTAGCTACAGTGAAGCCTTGTGGAGCTGAAACAATTATTTCTGTATTGTTTCAAATTGCTATTTTGTACACTTAAAGGCCTGAGACTTGCTTCACATGGAATATATGTTACATACAATATAGGTATAAATTAGATGCAATTCATATTTGGGACACAGTGATAGGTTTTGAATTTACAATTTCAAAGTTTCCCCATGTAATCAGAAAAATGCTGATTTTGGTTTATAACCAACCCTGTGATGGGAAAGTATTTTGGTTTTATTCTCATCAGAGCCAATACAGTGAGAAATCTACTACAACCCAAAATCAGACCTGTTTTCAGATATATTAAAGGTAGCAATATTTTACATTACTAAGCTATTCAATATTT